CTTTTTAAACCTCCCTTTTGTAACTCTGTACCGAGCCTTCCACCTCTGCACCCCTTCCCCTAACTTTCTCACCACCCTCTGCACTTGCACCTTCACCGCCCGCTGAGCTTGCATAAATCTTCTTTCTCTCATCAACTACTGTGCCTGCATCCTGCCTTCTTTCATCACCCTCATCACCTGTCACCACCCATCACACATGAACCCCCACTTCCTCCAGTGCAGCTGTACCCTGCTTCTCACCACTGCACCTCTGAATGCTTTTCTCCGGTCTCACCATCATGCCTGCATGCCCCTTCCTCAGCTCTCACCGATGCACCTGTACATGCCCCATCCCCCAATGCCTGCATGCCCCTTCCTCAGCTCTCACCGATGCACCTGTACATGCCCCATCCCCCAATGCCTGCATGCCCCTTCCTCAGCTCTCACCGATGCACCTGTACATGCCCCATCCCCCAATGCCTGCATGCCCCTTCCTCAGCTCTCACCGATGCACCTGTACATGCCCCATCCCCCAATGCCTGCATGCCCCTTCCTCAGCTCTCACCGATGCACCTGTACATGCCCCATCCCCCAATGCCTGCATGCCCCTTCCTCAGCTCTCACCGATGCACCTGTACATGCCCCATCCCCCAATGCCTGCATGCCCCTTCCTCAGCTCTCACCGATGCACCTGTACATGCCCCATCCCCCAATGCCTGCATGCCCCTTCCTCAGCTCTCACCGATGCACCTGTACATGCCCCATCCCCCAATGCCTGCATGCCCCTTCCTCAGCTCTCACCGATGCACCTGTACATGCCCCATCCCCCAATGCCTGCATGCCCCTTCCTCAGCTCTCACCGATGCACCTGTACATGCCCCATCCCCCAATGCCTGCATGCCCCTTCCTCAGCTCTCACCGATGCACCTGTACATGCCCCATCCCCCAATGCCTGCATGCCCCTTCCTCAGCTCTCACCGATGCACCTGTACATGCCCCATCCCCCAATGCCTGCATGCCCCTTCCTCAGCTCTCACCGATGCACCTGTACATGCCCCATCCCCCAATGCCTGCATGCCCCTTCCTCAGCTCTCACCGATGCACCTGTACATGCCCCATCCCCCAATGCCTGCATGCCCCTTCCTCAGCTCTCACCGATGCACCTGTACATGCCCCATCCCCCAATGCCTGCATGCCCCTTCCTCAGCTCTCACCGATGCACCTGTACATGCCCCATCCCCCAATGCCTGCATGCCCCTTCCTCAGCTCTCACCGATGCACCTGTACATGCC